TTTCCTTAAGTTCCTCAAATTAGGGGACTGAGTGCAAATGCAAAATGATACAGCTGCTTCAGATTCTTAGAGTGAGTACTGCACAGGACAATAGTTTTCTGCTTAGAGGACAATTAATGAACTGACCATTCCCAATCTTCAGGCCAGATATTAAACTACTCAGTTTAGGTGAGATACACCCCATGCAGAGGACCAGAACAAGACTATGCACCATTTAGTCCATCCAAATGGGACTTAAGGTGGGCTGCAAGTGGTACATACATATGCCTTTATGCTAGCTCTAAGCACAGAGGTGAATTTCACTTTCTCCCCATTCATAATGTTATCAAAGCAGAGTGGAATTTAGTTAATATTTAACCATATCATCCCATTTAATGTCCTTTGTAAGGGTCACCTTTATGAATTTCCTTTCTAGTATCTCCTGATGGGAGTTCTTTTATCTAGCATATTTGATATACACAATACTCTCCTAATAGCAAATATAAGGGCCACCTTCAATGTAATCTTCAAATTCACACTATTAGAGGAGAATAAAATTAATTCCTTTATGGCCTCCTCTGTATTCACTCAAAATGCATTATCTCATAGGCAGAATGTCCAAAACTCCATTTTGGTAGTCTAGTTTTAGGAAACTAATAATAATTGTGATATCTTTATAATTTTATCTAATAATTCTCATCTTGAAGGATCCCAAAACAGTTTACAGCCTATCAGTATATAGAGCTCAGGCACCAATGTAGACAGCTCTGGGGTGCAGTGTGGTAGCTGTTTAACAGCTTATGGCAACACTACATAAGTAGTTTTATTAGGAGATGAATTGGGGTGGGGGGAAGCTGTTTCTAACTGGAAATAAGGAGGGATTGGATTTAGGGAGGAAAAAAATGGAATTTGACCTGGACACTGCTGCTAATATTTCTCAGAATTTTTAATGGCCAAAATTGGTCTGGATCTTTGTTTTATGTCTCATCTAAAAGTCAGGAAAACAAGAGTATGAGTTGAGATCATTGAGTATCCCCAAATATAGTATTCACTATGGCTAAGTAATATACAAAGGCTACAGGAAATAATCAGTATGTGACTAAATCATAGGTTCTGAGGGGGAAAAAACAATAGGGCAGAATCTACCCTAGAGTAAGTTTAAAGTCAACGTAGTTACACCGAGGATGAATTAAGATATAACCCTGGCCCTTTTGCTGAATTAAGCCTATATGGAGCCAGGATAACTGCCTTCCTCAAGAAGAATGCAATGGCCTGCCATGAGGGTAACACTCATGACTAGATCTCTGCGGGAAATGGCTTTCCCGTCCTGCAAAAAATGTCAAAATATTAGAAAAATGTTCCCATCCCATCTCAGGACAAACGATCAGAATCTTGGAAACTTTGGAACTCCTTATCCTAAATGATCAGTGTCAGCAATAACCTCACTGACCTATCAGTTTGGCCAGATTTTAATCCATTTAATGTGTGCCAGGATAATTTTATAGCTTTCTAGTTTTTAATCAAAATATTGTGTGGTACCAAGTCAAAGTATGTTATGTCAATACTATTTATCAGTCACACTTTGTAATCTCATAAAAAAAATCAAGTTAGTTGGACAGAATCTATTTTCCATAAACCTGTGTTGATTTGCATTAATTACATTACCTTCCTTTAATTACTTATTAATTGAGAGACATATTATCTTGCCCAGGCCTGATGTCAGACTGAAAGGCCTATAATTAGCCACATCATCTCATTTACCCTTTTAAAAATATTGACAGACTAACTTTTTTCCAGACTTCTGGAACATCCCCAGTGTTCTAAGTTTTATTGAAAACCAACATTATCAGTCCAGCGAGCTCCTCAGCCAGCTCTTTTAAATCTCTTGGATTCATGTTATCTGGATGTGTGGACTTAAATGTCTAACTTTAGCAGATGCTGTTTAGCATCCTTCTGAGATACTAGTGGAATGGAAAGAGTGTTAGCATATTCTTTGACTACATCATCTGTTCCTTCCCCAGTGTAGAACAGAAATATTTATTGAACACATTTACCTTTTCTGCTTTATTATTGATAATTCTACAAATACCATTGATGAGATTCTTTTTGTTCCTAATATACTTACAGAACTCCATTCTATTGTCTTTAACCCTGCTGGCCATAGATTTATCCTTGTGTCCCTTTCAATTTTCTACAATTGAATATAAGGACATAAGAACGGCCCTACTTGGTCAGACCAAAGGTCCATATAGCCCAGTATCCTGTCTTCTGACAGTGGCCAATGCCAGGTGCCCTAGAGGGAATGAATAGAACAGGTAATCATCAAGTGATCCATACCCTGTTGCCCATTCCCAGCTTCTGGCAAAAAGAGGCTAGGGACACCATCCTTGCCCATCCTGGCTAATAGCCATTGATGGACCTATCCTCCATTAACTTATCTAGTTCTTTTATGAATCCTGTTATAGTCTTGGCCTTCACAACATCCTCTGGCAAAAAGTTCCACAGACTGATTGTGCGTTGTGTGAAAAAATACTACCTTTTCTTTGTTTTAAACCTGCTGCCCATTAATTTAATTTGGTAACCCCTAGTTCTTGTTTTATGAGAAGGACTAATTAGTGCTTCCTTTTTTACTTTCTCCACACCAGTCATGATTTTATAAATCTCAATCATATCCTCCCTCAGTCATCTCTTTTACAAGCTGAAAAGTCCCAGGCTTATTATTCTCTCCTCATACGGAAGCCGTTCCATACCCCTAAGCATTTTTGTTGCCCCTTTCTGAACCTTTTCCAATTCCAATATATCTTTTTTGAGATGGAGTGACCACATCTGCACGCAGTATTCAAGATGTGGATGTACCATGGATTTATATAGAGGCAATATGATATTTTCTGTCTTATTATCTATCCCTTTCTTAATGCTTCCCAACGTTCTATTCACTTTTTTGACTGCCACGGCACATTGAGTAGATGTTTTCAGGGAACTATCCACAATGACTCAAAGATCCCTTTCTTGAGTGGTAATAGCTAATTTAGACCCCGTCATTTTATATATATAGTTGGGATTATGTTTTCCAATGTGCATTACTTTGCATTTATCTTTATCAACACTAAATTTCATTTGCCATTTTGTTGTCCAGTCACCCAGTTTTGTGAGATCCTTTTGTAGCTCTTCACGGTCTGCCTGGGACTTAACTATCTTGAATAGTTTTGTATCATCTGCAAATTTTGCCACCTCACTGTTTACCCCTTTTTCCAGATTATTTATGAATATGTTGACTAGAGCTGGCCCCAGTACAGACCCATGTGGGACAACACTACTTAACTCTCTCCATTCTGAAAACTCACCATTTATTCCTACCCTTTGTTTCCTATCTTTTAACCAGTTACCAATCCATGAAAGGACCTTTCCTCTTATCCCATGACAGCTTATTTTGCTTAAGAGCCTTTGGTGAGGGACCTTGTCAAAGGCTTTCTGAAAATCTAAGTACACTATATCCACTGGATCCCTCTTGTCCACATGCTTGCTGACCCTCTCAAAGAATTCTAATAGATCGGTGAGACATGATTTCCCTTTACAAAAAACATTGCTAGTTTCTGATTAATATTCATTGCTACCAATTTTTCTTTTCTTTTTTATTTCTTCATTTAATCATTTATACAGACAGCTGCCTTCACTTCCCTTCTAAACCAGGTTAGCCTTCTTCCTCGATTGTGGCTTTTGGGGCATCTAGCAAAGTGTTCATAACAATTCCTGATTATCATTTCACATTTTTTCTGATTAAATTCTTCCTCCCAGCTGATTGGGCTCATAATTGTTTTCAACATTGTGAAACTGACCCTTTTAAAAGCACCAAATATCTAATTCTGGGCTGGACCTAATTCTCTTTACACACTCTAAATGTGATGAAGTCATGATTGCTTGTACATAAGCTACCATTAATTTTTAGTTCTACAATCAGTTCCTTTTTTCCTATCAAGATGAGGTCTAATATAAAATTCCCCTGTGTTGGACGAAGCACTTTTTGAGTTAGGAAATTGTCATCTATAACATTTAGAAATTCACAGGGATGTTTTAGTATTGTCAGCAAGAGACCTTTAGCATGTGTCACTCCAGTTGAAGTCCCCCATGATCTTGCTGCTTTTTTCCACTGCGTATTATAGATAGATGTGTAAGGAGCTGGTCATCCTGTTCCCTAGTGTCATTGGTGGTCTGTAGCGGACACCAGCTGCTACTCCATCTTGTGGTTTATCTGTTGGGACATTGATCCGTAAGCGTTTAAGATAATTTTCCTCTGAGTTATCAGTGACTCGGAAACAGGTAATACCATTTTTGAAATGGAGTGCCATTCCCCCTCCCCTTTTGTCCACTCGATGGGGTATAACCATTGATTTTTAACATTCCAGGTAGAATCAGCACATGAAATGTGTACCTTAATAAACAGAGGATCCTTCCCGAGAATGAGCATGATCTCATCCAGTTCTGATGCTAGCACACTTCTCATTAGCAGCTCCCAAGCTCTTCTCCCATATACCTGTTCCCATGCTAATTAAACTCAGAATGCAGGATAGGTGGTAATGTTAGTTCCAACAATGTATAATTTGTTGTTCTTTCCAGGTGCTTCTAGCCACTAGGAACCCAGGGACTCACATGGACTTCAGACCCTGTGTGTTAGCAATACCCAGGGTGTGGATGCTGCCTCTAGTTGCTAGCCTAAGTGAGGCTAAAACCAGCCACACCACTAGCTCAAGTAGAAGAGGCTGGGGTTTGGGGGTTGAGAGCCCTGGGTTCAAGTCCTGATGCCAGCTGTATGCTGCAAATTTGTGTTCAACCAGAGCACATTACACAACGGTGCCTATGTGGTACTTGAACCCTGTGGAGTTCAGAGTCAGTGATCAAGCTCAGAGTCAGAGATCAGCACTAGGTGACTCAACCTGTTTGGGACAGATGGTGGGAAAGGGCTTTAATTTCATAAACATTGTTCATAGTTGAGTAAAAAAAAATTCTACTTTATTTTTCAACAGAAAAATTTCCAGGCTGCAGTTCAATAAGGTGAAGCTGGAAGACGCTGGGGAGTATAGCTGTGAAGCCGAGAATGTGCTAGGGAAAGACACAGCAAAAGGCAGCCTTAATGTGAGAAGTGGTAAGTTGAGACACCAGAGACTGTCAGGAGACAGCTATTGCCTTTCTTACACTGGGGGAGCATGTTCTGCACATGATCTGTCTTGTGTATTGTTTAATACTTTCAGGATATCAAGTGAAATAATCTCGGGAGATAAAGAAAAATGCAGCCTAAGCATAAATGTTTATCGTCACCATCTGCCACTGGCAGAGTGGTTGATCTACACTTTAAATAAACTGCAGACTAAATATTATTAAAAAAACAATTGAAGGCGGTGGAAGTGGAGGTGGTGGATTTATACTTTTAGAAGCATTTCTGAGAAGCAAAGTTAAGGTATAACTTCTCTATGACTGAAATGCCGACCGATTTTCATCCAGTAAGGTCCCTCTCCCTGGGAGTCACGTGTGGGCTAGTGAATGGAGCCAGTGGTTGGGCGTCAAAAGACTTTAAGTTTTGTTACAGACTTGGCCATGCCACATGATCCTCCTCCTGCTTACTACTGCAAATAATAATACTGCTCAAATAGGATTAAGTTGTGTTGCTCCCAGCTTTAAATGGGACTATTTTCAGTATTAAGCACGCCTTCGGTAGTGTTTGCAGACTTGGGCCTCTACTTGTAACTTTGGGTAGGTTAATCAAACTCTCTGTATGTCTTAGTTAACCCATCTGTAAAAATAAAGGATACTTATCCAGATCTGTAAAGGCCTCCAGATGCAAAATGCTAGTTGTGTGTTAAGCATTGTGTCTGAAGAGAGCCTTCAGGCTTTGCTATATCTTTTCCCTTTACGAAAAGAATCCAAAGTTAGTTAACTGGACAGCACAGCCTCTTTAAACTGTTTGAACTGCATTCTCAAATCTGGACAGTCATTACGATAGCAACATATGCATGCGCAACAGGTAACTACGCCTGGAAATCAGACACAGCGTGCATGTATTTTATGGTCTCCACTTAGGCAGCTGTGTTGTGAAAATGTAGCCCTTTTATCAGTCTCAGATGGATGAAATATAAGTCACTGACAATCCTTTCCGCTCAGTGAGGATGGAGTCTGCCTGTGTGATTGTACTAGCACAACTGAGGTCTGATAGGAATGCCAGTGAAATGCAAAGCAGAATTATGGCAATTTAACGCTGCTAGTTCCCACAAATTCAGACGGCATCCACATTATGTAGCGTATAAATGTTTCTTCAGACAACAGGTAGGGTATGATATAAGAGGTGTGTGTTGGAGGAAAGGACAAAGGGTTTTCATTCATTCCCTGCCTAGCTTGGAGGTTGCATCTCAGACAAATGTCCACAATCTCACCTGGAATTTGCAAGGGCTATTCTGGCCACTGAAAACCAGAAATAACATATGCAAAGTTCTGGTCTCTCGGCCTAATTCTCTGGGCTGTCCCTTTACTGAGTGGGAGCTGTAGATACTTTCAGTAGTATGCTTTCCATGATATTTGCTCCTCTTTGAGTCTGTATCTTCCTCTGGTGGGTAAACTCCACTGTCTTGTCTATGAATTAAATTGTAAGCTCCTTTGGGGCAGGTCCTGTGCCTCTCTTTCAGCATGAGCCTACTGCATAAATCACTTTCTTATTCTATAAAGGACATCGATAAAACAGTAAAGAAAGCAGGAAACACAAATACAGCAAAATAGGAAAGAACACGTACGCGAGACATTCACACTGAACAGTGGTGGCTGTGCTACATAAACGGTCAAAGAAAACCAGACACAGGTTACTCATGCCCTGATCCTAGGTCTTTGATTCATAATTCGTCAAAATGGACTTCACCTGAGTAAAGCAAAAAAGAGAAAAGGAAGAAATAGGAATAAAACCCCAGGCTGTGAGAACAATCACTATAAAATCCCATGTCTTCTGCAAGGAAAATCTCAAAATTCTAGATCTTTTTATGGGTGACAAGACGGATGCCAATTTAACTGATACGATAAAGATACGGTCTGACCCAGATACCCTTGCATGTGGCTGCTCCATTGTGCAATATAACAGCGTGGTACTGCTGTGGGTTTTTTGTTTTGTATTTTTAATTAAAGGGAGAGTTTAGCTCTAGTGAAAGGTACTGGACTGATACCAGGCACTGAGATTCATAGGGCTGATCCCAGCTGCTGATCTCCCACACAGGGTTGCAGCCAGTGCTTAAATTGTAATGAAAGAGGTACCGGGGCTTAAACAATGATTTAATTTTAAATTTATGACTTTGAATTGGCAATAATACCACCATGCATTCAGTCATAACACATTTATTTGAAAGAGTAGCCCACTGTCTAAGGTGCCACAAGGACTCCTCGTTTTTTTTGCTGATACAGACTAACACGGCTACCACTGAAACCTGTACTGTACTAGTGTTATGTTTACAACCATGTATTCTACATCATATACAAAGTAGTAGCTTGTGCAGAAAAAAATTAAAAGCAACTGCAGGAAAAAAAAAGTCTGAATATATTTGCTAGCTACAGACCTCTTCACCTTTGCCCTGGTTCTCTCCTTAGTATTGTTACACAATGTTATTCTCACACCTCCCTTATTCTCTGCCCTGCTGTACCCGCCCCCCAAACACACACACATCCACAACCATTCTTTGTTCAGTTGAAATGACAATAACTACAGTATTATATTGTTCTACTACTTAACAACCAGCTATGGTGCTTCACAGTAACAACTTTTAAATGAGTCACTAAAAATAGTTAACGATGTCTGCTTTGTTTTCTATATTGTTAAGGAACATCATTAAGAGCAATGAAAAATTATATTTTCGTATGGACCGAACAAATGTAACCAAACTAAAAAAAAAAAGAATTTAAGACCTTTCTTTACCCTAATCCTGCACTGTTTGAGAGAAGTGGTGTTGGATACAGCCTTGTGCTTTACTTCACCAGAAAATGCCAGCAAGTATATTTGCATCCCCTACTAGAGCTCTGCATGGGACTATTTTTTTTAATCCTGCTCCCGTCCCACCCTGCGATACCCACTCCTGCATTGTTTGAATTCTTCCCCGCTATTATGGCAGCGGGTCCTGGGGCTCCCAGTCCTGCTGCAAGGCACTACTCCCTACCGTTTTTTTTTCATTCGCTCCATTTTTCTGCCCTAGCTTTGCACCCGGGTGGCTGCACTGCTCGTCCCTCCCTTGTTATGACCCTGATGGATACAACTATGTTGAGAATTTGAAGAAAAACACGTTTCAGAGGAAAAAATAGAGATTTTTTTTCACTTTCCTAATTGGTGCAGCAAGCCCAGAGGGGTGGGGGCTCAGACCTGACAAACCCCAGCATAAATTAAGCACTGGCTGCAGCATTATAAGTGGAGACCTGGGTGGACCCCTAAAGCTAGTAACGAGCCTCCTGGGCCAATGGGAGTGTGTCACCCCCCCCTCCCAATGGGCACTAGGGTGACCAGATAGCAAGTTTTAAAAATCAGGATGGGGGTGGGGGGTAATAGGAGCCTATATAAGAAAAAGCCCCAAATATTGGGACTGTCCCTATAAAATCGGGACATTTGGTCACCCTAGTGGGCACTCTGTCCCCTTCTAGCTATGGCTGTGCTGCAGGTGGAGGTTGATAAGGCTGCTACAGTCTTGGCTCACAGAGCAGGCTCTCTTAGCTCATACTTTAGAGGCACATGCGTTTTGATCCATAAGTCTGGGGTTCAATCCCTGCTGCCCACAACCCAGCCAGGGGGCACTATAATTTTTGCAAAGTAATTTTTACTCCTCCCCACCGACACTTTTATTTATTTATTTATTTCCTTTTGAGAAAGGTGTCTATTCCAAGTTCTAGGATCCTTGGCTAGGAATTGAATTGGAAATGTAATCCATAACAAAGGCCACAAATAAATAAGAGCAAAAAAGGAGCCACTCGTTACTCTCAAAAATGCTAATCAGCAAAAATAAACATCCTCCCCATCCCCCTTCCCCCACCCTCAATTCTCACTGAACCAAAACTTTCCATCCCCCACAGCTGAGCCCCTTATAATGGATGGCCTTTTCAGGGCAACATGTCCAAGCTACTGCAGACAGGGCCGGCTCTAGCTTTTTTGCTGCCCCATGCAGCAAAAAAAAAGTGCCGCCCCCCAGACCCCCAGCCGAGCGCCGGGCCGTGCCGCCCCCCCCAGCCGAGCGCTGCTCCACCCCCCC